AGAAGTAACCGGGTTCTAGGAGTCTCAATATCACCGATCTTTCTCTCAAGCATTGTTTCAGCACAGCATTTGATTTGCGACCAAAATATCCCGAGAGTCGAATCGCAATGAGTGTAGTATCGAGTATCAACCAACTTCAGTCTGCACCAAAGCCGGCCATCTCACTACTTTCTAATGGCTAAGTTGTGTCAACTAAGGTTCTACGGTTAGTTAGTGCTTATGACACCACGTGACATCCCAGCATTCTCCTTGACTGACTCAAGGGACATCGGCACCAACCAATGTGTCGCACTAACATAGCCATCACTTCAACCATATCGGTATACGCTGTATAGTTTCCATGATCTATTGCTACTTACCTAAAATTCCCCTAGATCCGAGTACATGATCTTTACAAAAATAAACCCGAGCAAAAACCCTGAAATGTAAAGCATACAAATCAAGCAAGTAAAGCATTTTAAATGTGATCTAACTCTAAGGTAACCCCACTTTTAGTTTTCCTCATCAGAGTTGCCAGTTCTATAATACGGTGGGAGAACTGACTTTTGGTTTTGCATTTTATTGCAAATGTTGTGGTTAGCAAGAGTCACCACCGACTTTTATTTTATCCAATAAAGAAAGGGGTGAAAAGAACAGGAAAGACCTTTGAGAATTTTCTGAGTTCGGGGAGTAGGTTATGAAAAGGGAAGGTATTAGCACCCTTTTCATCCGTAGTTATCTACGAGCTCTTAATCGCTAGCTCACTTTTGAAAATGCTTTGTGTGTGTGAAAATATTTTGAAAATCCCTAAGTGTAGAAATTTTGTAATGATTCTCGTAACGTTGAAAATGCATACAAAATGTTTATTTTGAAAATATTTGTTGAAAAAGTGTCATTGTATGAAAAATGTTTCGAAATGTTCGCGAGCAAGCGATTAAGAACTACCTACCTACCCAAAAGTCTTTTGTTCTTTTCCTCTTCCTTTAGATAGTGATATCCTACCATTGGTTAGTAGGAATCCCTGTCGTTGGATGTATGAGGGACATACGCGGGTTATCGTACAGTCATAAAGGCAACTTGTAGGGTGCTTTAGCAATTTGTCGTAAGGGACTAAGATTGTTTACCAAGGTAGCATCGAAGGGTCATCGAGGGACTACGATCTTTTAACCAAGGGTCTTTGCTAGAGCATCCCACGTTTGAGGGACATTACTGTTTTATTCGAAGGCAACAAGTGGAATCACCCTAGAGGTGCATATGTGAATAGTGTTCTATTTTCAGTTAATTTATCTTGCATATTAGGGTTATCTAACGTTGATTTTAGATCTTGCCATACACGCCTAATTACTATACAATAATAAATAAAAGCAGTAAGAACAGAAAAGAAAGATCCTACGCTATTACAATGCCTCGGGGAATGAAGTACAGAACCACAAAATTTGGGGAAATAGAAAGAAACCTAATTAACTATTACATCCCTTAACAGATACATAATTGTGAAAAACTAGTGCGAAAATAAGAAAAGCGCGAAGATTGTAAGAAGAAACGAAGAGATTGTTTGATGGAAAATGATTGATGATTTATCCTAACGATTAATTAATTTTTATTGAAAAAGGGGGGTTAATTAAAACCTAATAAAAACCTAAGTTATTTTTTAATTGAAAAAAGTTTAGTGACAAAACCCTAGAGAAACTTAATTAATTAATTCAATTAATTTAATTAATTAAAAAAGGTTAAATTAATCTTTAAAATGTTAAATTAATTTGATTTTAATTAAATTTTCAAAAGAGGGTTAATTATGTTAAATAAGAAATTTAAAACAAAATAATAATTAAAAAAAGAATAGATGGGCCTGAAGAAGTAAATCTGCGGGTGCAAGGAAGCAAGTGCATTAGGCCCAAACATGCAGGCCCAGCTGCCTGAATGGGATCCAGTGCAACCCTTCAATAAGGGTTTAACATGGGTATGAGGTCTGAAACGTTGGATATGCTTTGTGAAGATCTGATGGTGATGAGATGGGGGTGCACAGCATGCGCGCTGGGTTAGCTTGTATTGGATCTGCAAAAATCACAAACTATGAAAAAATGTCCCACGCCTAGTTCAAACTCAGGTCCAAGCATAGCAAGGTCTTAAGGGCAAGCGCGCCACCACTGGGGTGGCCATACATCCATTTATAAAACTGTAACGATTAGTTTATAATGTAAAACAAATCTCAAAGATCAAACAATTCAAAGGGCGCACCTGAGTGGGGACCCCTGTATTTGAATGGTCCAGTGGCAAGATGCCATGCAACCCTGGTTGTCTCTGGCTACAACACGCGGAGGAGAAGGTAATCTTCTCCATTGACTCGTTTTTTGAAACCCTACCAAAATCAATCAAAAATAAAAACTAATAACCTTGAATAGATAATTAGACCCTTGCGAGTCCAATGGGCCTATTAGTTTGGCATGAAAACGACTGTAACTGGGAGTTCGAACGAAACTGATTTCGGTTCCCTAACCATGGTGAAAAATGATTCATGCATCCAACCTCACATGTAATACGTTAATAAAATTCTAATGATGCATATGAACATATTTAACATGTTAGCAATGATTGGAAATACACAAAATCAAAGTTTAGAAGTCTACCAATCTTGACAATCAGTATGGTTGAGATGTTGCATTCTGGCGCTCGAGATATGCAGCTATGAACTTGGATCACCTCCTTTATCCTCAGGAAGTGATTGTTGGCCTTAGTTTTAATTGAGAACGTCTGGAAACTAAAATACAGATCTTGCACTTTTCTTTGAATTTTTGTGGATTTTTTAAGGACTCTCCAGGTAGTGTTTTTCGTGTCCTTGTATCTGATGCTTGTCATGCTTATATAGAGGAAGGATTAGGGTAAACAAATATGGCATAAGACAATGCAATCGTGTCCAGAATGAGACAAGAATCAAACATGTTTCCAAGCTTCCTTTTTGAGATATTTCTTTCCATATGAGCTCACATGATTTTGAATGGTTGTCATGAGTTGTCTTGGGCCTGAACTGATCCAAAAAAGCAAGCCCACATGCCTTGGTCAATTGATTTTATTTTTTATTTGATTTACTTGCATTTAAATAAATAAAAATTCAAATAAAAGAAATAAAAATCATTAAAAAAATAGGTGAATGTATTTAGAGGTCCTATAACACATTATGAATATGTTTGAACATCAAAAGTTAGGCTCGTTATCTCAAAATCCCAAGTTTGCTTTTTTTGGAATTCATGCATTCTACCAAACTTTCCCAACTTGCAATGGTCATAACTCTCTCAATTTTTATCTTTTGAAGGTGATCTTGGACTTTTTGGAAATATCAAGGTGTCCTTTTCAATTTATCTTTTGATCATTTTTACATTTGGTGACTTTATCTTGATGTAAGTTGCCTTGACAAAAAGTGTCATTTTGTTTACTTTTGAAATGACATGTAATGTATTGGCTCATATCTCTCAAATGAAGCACTTTTTGGAATTGAGAAAACAGATACAAATTTGTAGAGAATTGAATTTATTTCAAAATGGGTTTTGGTTGGGGGAAATTTAATGAAGCATGTGAAAGTTATGCTTGGTTAAAGTTCAGTTGACTTCTCCTAAGGAAACCCTAATTTGACAACTTTTGACTTTTGATGATTTGAGGGCTTTTCTTGAGGAATCATGATCAAAACTTGATCAAATGATGAATATCACTTCAAAATGTTGATGTTAGCCAAAAATCTTGAAGTTTGACTGTATGTTGACCATAATTGACTTTTTACCCAATATAGTTGATTTTCAGTCATCTGAGCTATTGACTGAGCAATCTTGTGATGCAAGGCTTGAAACTTGACATGAACATTGTAGAAGACCTATAGAGGACCATGGAAACCACTTTATCCTTTTTAAACCCACACTTATTTGAAAAACATAAAATCCTAGTTGTTGACCCATTGCTTAGGAGGAGAATTTGTCTGATATATTCTTGAGCCACCTTGAGCATTTGAGGACCTTTTGAGAATGTCTTGAAGAAAAATGGGAGGGAAAATTTTGGGGTATAACATAAGGGATGGGGGAATAGATGCGATCACAAATGTAAACACACGTGCGGAATACCTACTTCAAAGGTAGGATTTTAAACAAGCACAAGTAGCACACAAAAGGCAAATGATGTGGAATTGCCCTAAACATGTCTTTAAATAAACCAAAGGGGCTCCTGACATGATCAGCAACGAAAACCCCCGTCATACATCTCTATTCCTACTTCTCATGGAATCAGAAAGCAGTAAAGTTCATACTTCTCATGATATCTAGAAAACAATAAAGTGCTGAAATGAGATAAACAAGAGAAAATACCAAACGAATATCAATATGTAGCAAAGCGTATCAAAATAAAGAAACCCGACGATCTTCACGAAAGCTTCACCAATCAAAGAAAAGAGTCAGAAACCAAATATGAAAATAAATCACAAGCGGAATGTGCGCCAAGCATATCCGAATATCACACAATAAACCTGTATAAGATTCAAATCTTGACAAGCAAAAGTAAGTCACAAAACCTTGGCAACAAAATGATTACTAAACATAATCGATAATAAAAAATTCTAATCAAAATTCTAAAAAAAGGAAATCTTTTAGAAAAATTCTATTATATTACCTATTATTGTTTTTCCTATTATTTCTATCACTATTTTTTTATTAGCAAAACTTGATAAAAAAATAATTAAAGAAAAAATCTTTAAAAAAACAATGATCAAGGGGTGTGAAAACCGGATCAGGATCTATGGTGCAGCAAAGCTTAGGCGCTGAAGGCCCAACTAAGAGTCCATGATGTTGTTTTTTGTTGCAATAAGCTTAACATGCAAAAGAGTAATTCCTGGGCTTAAGGAGCATGTAGCTCGGCCCATACCTGCCAACAATCAGCACTACAACTTTTTTTTATTCAGCTTTTTGTTTAAAATAAGACTGAAATATAGAGAAAGAATTTAAAGAGAAAAGATGAAAAATGAATGAAACGGTGTAGTATTGGTCTTAGGGTTAAATATATGTGACTTTTCAGATTCCTTCTCAAAGAGAATTCATCTTTCCCCCTCCTTCTCCGTCGCTTGCGATTTTTCCTCTCCGATAAAACAAACCTGGCGCAGTTGTAAACACATCCTTCCTCTGTTCATCCCACTCTCCTTTTCCTCCACCGAGTTTGGTTCATCACTTACTCATATCAGTTTCAACCTAATCCTTTGTTCGATTTCATCTCCGTTTCAACCTAATCCTCCATTCGATTTCATCTACTCAACTGTGTTGTCTTCTTCAATTTGGATCGTTCTCCTGTTCGTCTTTCTCATCTCAGCACACAAAAACAGAATGCTAACGCAGAAACAGAAAGCTAACACACGGGGAAACAACAACGATATGAAGAATTTGAAGCAACGAGACTGACCTACCGGAGACTTGTCCAATATTTCTTGTGCATTTTGTAATGGAGTTTGGATAATGATTTTGTAATGGTAACATGCCTTTATGGACTTGTATTAAACATAGTAATGATGGTTTTGAATGATTTATGATAAACCTTGATGTTTGATAATTGAACTGGAACTTGAAAGAATATATGGATAAAGAACATTCGAATGAAATTCCAAACCAAATCATGAACGAAATTTGGATGAACTTGGATAATCCTTGAATCCACGAAATTCGTCACAAATCTTCCGATCTTGATGATACAAACCAATTTTGGAAAGAAACTTGAATCAAGAGGGACTTTAAATGATGATGAATGATTTTTCTTTGAATGATATGTTCTCCTAACTAGAATACCAACTTGAACTCAATTTGAACACCATGATATTTTTGGATGCACCTTCAAATCATCTTTAACTCCACGAAACTCCCGACTTCAAATACTCCAAACACAAATCGCTTGCTTTGCAAGTATTTGAAGGAATAATAATGCCTTCAATTCTGAGAACTTGCAGTTCAAGAAGTCCACATGAGTTACCTTAATCAAATGATCCTTTACTGAAGAACTATTGTTAATGCTTAAGCACAATGAGTATAAACCCTTGTCCTCTTGAAAAATACAGAGAAATAAACCATGATTTAAGACTTTAGTGAATGTTGGGGAAGAAAAGTCCTTGCAACCCGATGAATAAAGGATCCACAAAAATCATGGATCACAGCCATAATTCCACACTCTGTTGTTTGAAGAAAAATAACCAGAAGAAATCATCCTTTATTGAATATATACAACCAAATAGTGTGAAACCCTGATATTGCTAGATCATTGAACATTGAACCTCATGGTACTTTTGAATGCAATGTTATACTATGCAAATGACCTAATGAAAAGATGTGAATATGATACTAAGCCTAAGCCAGATAAAAGAAATTAGGAGGACGAATTTTGAGGTGCAACAAACTTTAATCAATTTGTATAAAAACTTTTCGCTTGCACTCTTTTCAATTAAAATTTTTAAAACTCCAATTTTAATTGGTATTTTGGCTTGGTAATTTATTCACTCCTCTAGATAAGTCATCATCGTCTAACAATGAAGAGGAAGGACAACAATTGTTGGATATACAGTTAGCCAAGGAAATTGAGCTTAAATCCTTGGGGAAATTGAAATACTTTATGGAATTGAAGTTTCCCACTCTAAGAAAGGAATTTTCATATCTCAACAAAAATACATTACTGATCTTCTACAGAAAACTGGCAAGACATCATGCAAGCCTACAAATACACCAATTGATCCAAGTGTAAAATTAGGAAATATAAAAGAAGATATTGCAGTTGATAAAGAAATGTATAAGAGATTAGTCGAAAAACTTATATACCTCTCACATACTAGACCTGATGTTGTTTTTGTCGTTAGCTTAGTCAGTCAACTCATGCATCAACCAAAGGAGATTCACTTACAAGTTGCGCTCTGAATTGTACAATATTTGAAAGGAACATCTGGTAGAGAAATTTTATTTGAAAAAAATCGAAAGTGTGGGTCTTGAAGCATATACTGATGCCGACTATGCAGGGTCAATTGTGGATATGAGATTAACTACATGTTATTGCACTTTCATAGGTGAAAATCTTGTGACTTGGAAAAGTAAGAAACAAAATGTAGTATCAAGATCTAGTGCTGAAGCAGAATTCAGGACAATGGCGCAAGGAATATGTGAACTAATATGGTTGAAATCAATATTAGAAGTTATGAGAATAAAGTGTGATGAACCGATTAGTTATTATTGTGATAATAAGTTTGCTATCAACATAACTCATAACTTAGTACAACATGACAGAACCAAACATATTAAAGTTGATAGACATTTCATTAAAGAAAAATTAGACAATAGACTTATTTCCATGTGTGTCTTCCCAAAACAACCTTACAAATCTTCTAACAAAATGACTTAGCAACAATAATTTTGAAGAAATTGTTTCCAAGTTGAGAATTATAGATATACATTCACCAATTTGATGGGATGTTATAAGTAATTAATTAGTTTATTATTTTTATTAGTTTGCTATTTTATTAGTAATTTAAATTTGAATCTTTAGTAAAGCTCATTAGGTCAGAATATTCTATTTAAAGAGATTAAGACTTGTTTATTCATCGTAATAATATGATTGAATTATTCTGTTTTGATAGACAGTGTAAAGTAGTGTATTCCAATTAATCTCAATGAATAAATATAATATAAAACAATAAGTATATTAATATTTTGTTGATATCGTGAAATAACTTATATAATTTAAAATGTTTTTTTTTTCTTTTCAAAATGATTTAACACACACCTAAGATCAACTGCTCTATCCAAAACAGAAATACAAATTGCTTAGCCTTCATAGGAAACTGTCGCATTAAAGTTGAGACATTTTTCTGTTTCAAATTTACAAATATTTAACATTTTTTCAAATTCAAATTTACATTTAAAAAACATAAGACAAGAATATTAAAACAAATGAACTAAACTAAAATATATAGTATACAAAATATATACAGCAAAACACAATTAAAAAACAGATAGGCAGGGACACCACGGCCTGTGTTCGAGGAAAAAAATTAATGTAAAGTGAAGTTATGGAATGAATATCTTCCACGGTATTCAATGTTGTTCTTGCTAGTTTTCTTTATTCTTATTTCAATTCCCTCCCCTGCTCTTAGCTTCAAAGGGGTTTCGGAAAAGATGCATTGGTTAGTATTTGTGTCAGTTTGGTATGCAAGTATCCATCATGGAACATGTTGGGACGATGGGCTTGCATCCACGCCCGAAAACAGAAACTCCTTGGTGTAGTGCAATACCAATGATTAACAATCGTGAGCTTCTTGATCCATCAAAATTATCCGCTGCTTACCACTATCTGAGCGGACGAGGATATCTACCTTATATCCAATCTATGCTTAGACAACAAAATCAACAGAGCTTCAGAGTAACAAAACAAAAGAATCAAGCAAAGGAAATTAACTAAATGACAGATAACTACCTCCACTGTACCGTCGGGAGAAAACCACCTCAATAGCACACCAAGATGTACTACAGCAGGAATCAGCTTGAAAAGTAAAGGAGTCGTCACCTGCATAAATGACAAAGCAAAAGTCGGAACTCCACTGATAAAAATAAACAAATTTTGTTCTTGATCGTTCATAGTGGATTAAAGACCATAGATCAGCTATGGAACCTAGAAACTGTTAATTCAAATATGAACAATTTCTCACCAAACTAAGAGCTGTGGTCCCAAGAAGCAGCAGATACAGTTTACCCTGTAATTAATCAAATATCAGATCAATAAAGGCTGGTTATACTTTCAAATTGAAGCTTAACTTTCAATCTATATCATCCAATTCCCAGGTATGGCCGGAACCTGGAACTGAGTTGGACTGGGCTAGCTCAGTTCAAGCTTAGCACAGCAAAAAAAAAAAAAAAACTATTCTTTCCATTTTACCTTCAATTCAGAGGCCACTAAATCTTAGTATGCCAATATTATGTCTTGTATTATTTGAATATTTTAGGCTCAACCAGTCATGCTCAAAATTTTAACTTAATATTTAGTTCAAAAACAGTTAAATGACAATGAATTTTTAATAAAGTAAATTATCTTTTATTTTGCAATGATTTTTTGAGAAGTATCTATATTTAAAGATCAAGCCAACAAGTTATCTTAATCCATTCTATGCAACAAGAACACTCTGGCAGAATGGTCTTGTTTAGGTCAAGCAACTGAACACATAATTACCATCATTACAAAAACTCCATTCTTTCACTAACCTCAACTAGATGAAGATTTGAAGCACGACTGAGAAGAACAAAAGCAAATTCTCCTATCTGTGCCATGGACATTCCCACCTATAAATATATGAATTCATGTACCTCAATCATTAAAAGAATATAATAAACAGCATTATAACCTTCTAAATTCAAATTATGAAAAAACACTTACAAGTACCGAAGTCTTGTTATTGTAACCAAATCCTTTTACAACTGAAGCAATTATGATTGTTTTAATTACAATCACCAAAATTACTGATGCTACCAAAATATCAACATGGTTCCAGAGAAAATGTACATGAATCAGCATTCCAATGCTTGCAAGGAAAAGAGCAGCAAAAAGATTGCAAATAGGTTCAATCTACAAAAAAAAAATGTGAACAATTGTCAATTTTTTCCATAAACTTATCTTGTTATCAAATCCAGCATTTTAATTAAGAATACAGAAAAATTGAACAGTGGAATATGCCCTGAACAATCATAAGGCCCCAGCTTGTGCAGAAGGAGATTCTAAATATATGCCTTAAATCTTTTGTTAATAGAGAAAAAAGTTTTGATTTTTTATAACACTACTTATGAAGAATACAGAAAAAAAATGACTAGCGGAAGTGCATGGGTGGCATCTAAGTTCATCCAGCACACTACAGATTTTGCATTTTCACTCATTACCAGTCCTTCAAAAATGGTGGATGATAAAAACACAGAATCTAATGCACTTCATGCAACCAATATTTAGAATTTCTATGCATTTATCTGAATAGATATAATAACAATTACATCACTGCATGTCAACATTCAACATTCAACAATCAATTGATATTTGTGTTTTATGTTCGCACCACATGCATTTTCCAATTCCGGTATAAAAACTCACTTGCTCTAGTGTATGTTGAGACAGATCAGTGGTTGCAATCATCACTCCAGCAGCAAAGGAACCTAGCTCTAGACTTAATCCCAGCTTATCACTACACTGAAAATATACAAATGCAATTAGTTAAAATAAGTAGTGCTTGACAAGTAACAGTAAGGTAATCAAGCAGCAGAACAAACATATACTATTTGAAGACAATTATGAGAAACAGAGATGTGTAACTCATGCCAAAAAAATGGTGCAAAAGGCATTTTAAACATAAAAATAGAAAAACAAAGCACGGCAAGCTTGCACACACAGGAGTATGTAAGTTACAGCTGAGACCCTTTGAAAGTAAGGTGAAGTACAGCAACGTAACAATATATGTACATCTTTTCTGCTTTGTAAGAACATAGTAAAAGTAAAGCATTACAAAGAGAAATACAGAAACTCAGGCATGTGAAAAATAAGGAAGAGGACAAACCCAGGCTACAAGCAAGCAGAATGCAACAGACGCCAGCTGATAGAGTTCATTTGTCTGCACAGATATGGTTTTTATTCAACCACAAAAACAGTCTGACAAATGAATTGCCATAAGAAGGAAACAACTAAAGAACCAAACTACGACTTCCAATTTAAAAAATATTCTTCCATGGGTGGGATTTCTCATTAAAGGGGGATAATGGTGTTAACCTGTGATGATAGGCTTATCATCAGTTTAAGAAACCACGGAAGGCAAGTGAGAGACAATATTGAAAGAATAGAGAGAAATGCAATCAACGTCGCCAACCTGGATTAAGAAAGGAGTATCAGTATCATGTTGCATATTAGATAAAAACTCAACATTATATGGCTATATGCTCAATAAAATCTTCAAATGAACCAAAAATGGATAAAAGGTGCATTTGAGTATCTCAACTAACTGCTACTGAGCTGAAAAATATTCTGCCTAAAATGCAATTCGGTGCATTAGAGTTTAGCATAACCAAAGTAATTGAAGTGGTTGTTGGGTCATTGGCGGAGTCTAGAGGATCATCAATTGGGCCAAGAACAACTAGAAAAGTGAGTTGAATACCACATTTTAATCCAAAACATTAAGGCATTATATATACGGGTCATCTCACTTACATGTTGCTCAACAGCCACTTTTTCATTCACTATGGGAATTCTAACTCATACTTGACATACTAACAATCTTTCCATCAAGTGTGACACCGCATATTAACACAAAACTTCTAAGGCGTATATATGGGTCATTCCACATATGTGTTGCTCAACATCTACTTGTGAGACTTCTAGCTCACATTTGACATATTAGGAGTGGTAATAAGCAAAGTAATATCACTGAACACTAATTATTATGAATTTATATTGATATGTAAGCATCTTCGTGTCATTTATTATCTATCATGATGCTGCAGTAGTATGTATGTCTCTATATTATTTTAAAGAGTGTCAATGTGTAGTCATTTTGGTTCACATATTATTTCACCTTTTATTCTTTTCCTATTGCAACACAAACATCAAGAACTATACTTTTAAACATATAAATTAAGTATAACTTTTAAGAAAAACTTATTAATAATCACATTTTTTAACAAAATATGCATGAACTTGTCTGATTTTTCCTTGGGAAAGTGACCAAGTGAGAGTGAGAAGAATAAACTATGAGAAAATGTTCATGGAAATAATATCAGTACAAGCCAAAGACTTGTGAGTTTCTAGACTAACAGCTTTGTCATTGATATAACTCCTTGAAAAACACCTGAGGTTCCACCCAAAACTGGAAGCAATGCAAAGAGCAATCCAACAGCGCAATCCTTGAAGAAAAAAGTAAAAATTCACAAGTCTTAATAGAGCATTTGTTGAAGGTGTTTATTGTCCATATTGAAAAAAATAATGAACAAAGAATGATTACCTGTAAAATAAGGGTCCCAATCGTGACTTGTCCATGAAGGGCATTAGTAGTGTTCTTTTCCATCAAAAACTTCAAGACCTGAACAAGAAAAAGTGAAAAACAGAAAAGCTATTATCGGCGCGGAAGTTCAATAGACAGTGCATGTGCTTTAAAATGAAACAGAATCGGATTGCTTATGTCATCATGTCATACCACTGCTGTTGAAGACATCGAAAGGAAAGCACCAACAAAAATCCCTTCTGAAGCTTTACCACCACATAACTGCAAAATTGCATACAATCAGAATTGCAGCATTTGGAGCATCATATGGAAAAGTCCACTAGTGCACAAGATATTTAAAACATATTGTGGTTTGCAATCTAAGGTTAGTTAATGTTGATTTCTACTTATAACATTATTTTAGATGCACATGGTGGTTAAAAGACTAACGACATAAACACTTACATGCTAAAAGGACTGACTTAGTACAAAAAATACCTAATGGACTATTTTGTTACAGACATCTAACTAAAATGACAGCATGATGTATTTGGTCTTAATTATATTGGCATCAAATGTCATGGATCTTGTAAAATAAGGAGGAGAATAAATCTACAGAAAGATCACGATCAGAAATCCATAAAGAAAATTGAGAAAAATGAAAGCGGGAACTGAAAAATGATACTGCATTATACCGTAAAACTGTTTCCACTACAAGACAGTACATCATAGCGGTTTGTTTTAAATTTGTCATACTTGAGACCCTCAAATGGAATCCAGTTTTTCCAAAATCTACTTAATGAAGCACAAACCTTCATCCAATCAGGCCTTCTAAATAAAAAATTTAAAAGATGAAACTTATCCTTTGGGTAGTAAAATCAGTATTTCTTAGTCCATTTAAGAGCAACAAAGGAGCCAGGTCATGCAATAAATAGATGAGGTAGAAACTAAGTCTTTCATAAATGGGAATGGCATGAATGTCTGCAGAAGACAGGACAACTACATGCATGTTTGGTTTATAGTTGGAAAAATGCAAACATATTTTTCGACCCAAATCATTTGTGGATCCAAAGCAACAGTTGAGCTTCTTTGGGGTATACACACTTGGAGTGGAGTCAAACGTACATTTGTAACGGGAATTCAAACATGCACTGCATAATCCAAAGATTTCTTGTTTGGCTTGTTTGTGATTTGCATTTCCCGTTAACTTTAAGTCATAAAACGAAATAAGAAGGATAACAAACAAAAGCTCAGAATTAGGGTGAATCAAAATTCTAAACATACTGATACAGTAAAACCACACATGCACATAAATAGAAAAATCTGAAGTAAGCCTCCAAGAACTGCAACAGACCGAACAACTCGAAGCTGCAAGCAGAAAGTAAGGTAATCAAAGTTTAGTGCAGCATAAACAGAAGAAAAAAAAAAAGAGAAGAAAACAGAAAATAAGAAAACCTTTGTCATGGAAAACTCCAGGCCCATTGCAAAGAGAATAAATACTACGCCAAATTGAGCCACTGTTTCCACCTACATATTTGAATGGATTATAAATAAGCTTGTCCCCTTTCCAACCCCAACAGGTCTTGCCGAGTCAGAATAAGTTAATTGTAAATTACATAGCCACTCCCATCAAGATATTGCAGAATAACACGCTGTTCGCTTTTAAGTTACATGTTCTGGTTGTGACAGAGTATTGAAATCCCACAATAAAAATAGCATGTATAAGTCTCAGGAAATCGTCACCTCTGAAGCTAGATTTTGGGGTTGAATTAGGTCTAGCTTAAATTCTAAGAGTTAGGATGCCTAAAATTTAGGAATTATAGCCATTTTCTATTTGACATTATTTTCTTTCAATTGAGTAGCTTTCCTTTTTTAACTGACCCTCCTTCTTTTTTTGAAACAGTCTATGTTATGTTAGTATGTTAATTACCAATTTGTTAGTATTTGCCGGAGTTGGGAATTGAACCTGAGAATCACTTCACAACTTAACTCTCCCACCCCAGCCACCAAACCAACCTTGCATTCCCTAACTATGACCTTCCTTTAATGATGCTAGTATTAATTTTCATTAGGATTTAGCCGCTTATGACTACATATTGTATATACCATGTCATTTAACTCATTAGTAAGGAATAAAATTAGCATCCAAAGGCAATTTTCAAGAACACAGAAGCACAACCCCACACAAAGTTTGCCTCATGGAACACAAGAGTCTCTTATCATTTGCTACCAAAGCTGCAATCTTGGATGTCCCCAGTTCAAGCAATGACTTTTGACGAGGCTTCAAACCATCAAATGTACACCTTTAAAATAAAGCTTGAGAGTAGAAGTGAAAGAGTTGAAGTTACTAATATCTTAAACTGTTCGTTATTCTGTAAGACACACACTAAAACACCAATGGAGCGACTCAAGCTCTAATGAATAAGACAGACAGTGGGATACAGAGGGCTTCCTAACATGATGTTTGATTTCCTTGTTGGGAAGGTGGAGACAAGATGGGGTTGGGTTTCTAGAGCTGAGAAATAGCATTGATGCCTAATGTTTAGGGATCCTAACACTAACAACTACTATATTTGGATATGTAAAGTTAGAAAGAATATTTAGTACAAGTAATATGTTGTTAGTCAAGTTAGTCAAGCAGGTGAACATTTAATATTGGTTGATGGGACTGAGCAAGTTTCATAATGGGTAGTGTAATTTACCCTACCCCATTAGGAGTCAGAGCGAAGAATAGGAAAAAACTTAATGCGGCTAAGTCATTTCAGAGATAAAGAGATTACAAAAATGAAATCCAACTGAGTTGAACTCTAAAATTACACCAAAAAGAAAGCAGCAATTTGTTTTAGATAAAAGATTACAAGAGGAATTGATTGCTGTATTCAAATACCTGCACCATTTCATTGATGAAGTTAAAGCCTCCAGGTCCAACAATGGAGCCAGCTAGAAGATATCCAGTAATGACCTGCCATATAATACTTTCAGGTAATTCTACATCTACAAGAGGTTCAACAGAAGCTATAATGAAATAGATCCTAAGGTTACATTTTTCAATAATGAAGCTTAGAACAAGAATATTCATACCGGTTGTCCAGCAAAAGCAAATGCAACACCGCCACAAGTTGCTGAAACAATAGCAACTACCAAGTCTGAAATCAATCTATAAGGCAACAATGAAAGAAGTTCTATTTGTCATTTTTTATATAACCCATCTTATGCTTAAAAGTTAAAACATAACAAGCTATAGAAGAGTACCGTAAATCTAGCTGTAGCACCGGATACTTGGATTTAAAGTTAGAAATGATAAATACATTGTCCTGAAAGATGCACAATTTACACATTTGAATTTTGCAAAACATAACTGAAAATCAGCAAAAAGAACGAACCAAATATTGAGTTGTATCACCTTTCGATCTATTAATATTGGGGTGTCCTCGCCTCTATTGAATACATGATGGAGTTGAAATGACCTGAAAGTTTAGAAAAACACATTCAACTAGTATATTAAAAAAATGTATCAAATACTCAGAAAACCAATTCAAGTTGTAGACAAATGTCAAAATAACTACTTTTCATCTTTAGTGTCATTCTTGTTCGGCGTGACTCTGGCCACAGTCTCCAGAACAGCCTGATCCACAGACAAGTCAAGAGGAGTAACTCAGCATAATACCACCCTCAGAGAAAATTATATAATGCAATATACAAGTACTACGGATTCATATTGATAGAGGAACATAACCAGATTCCCAACTAACTAAAAGCTTTAAAGTAGAAACTTCCAATAAGGTGAAGTAAATCTGTAAATGATGCATTTCTTTTTTAAAAAATGATAAGTTGCCTCATTTATGCCCTTTAAAGTGTATAATCTCTCATTAATACTTAAAGATTAGCTTCTAATTATAAAAGAGCTACTTTATTCAAATAAGTTATTGTTCATAATTTACTAAAAAGTCCTTATAAGCTTGTTACCAGGGTTTTGAAAAACATTGCAACCGCGACAAAACAGTATCGGTAAATACCGATATCGACACCGTTATCACTGTTTTTATATTAAAGAGCAAATTATGATAAATTCACACCGCAACGACCGCAATTAGTGTCGCGACACCTGTATTGACCGAAATCACGACTGCGGCCTTTTTTTAAAACCCTGCTTGTTACCATAAATAGAAATTAAATTAGAGAGCTTCTAAATAACTTGAGATGTTTCAATTTATACGGAAAACTATTATAAAAGCTAATGTTATTGCAATATTATTTCTTAAAATTATTTGTATAAAACTTGATCATACTGAAAATCGAAATAGTATGCCATTGCCATCAGTTCAAATCATGGATCAGTTGAAATCAAAGACTAACCTGTTGTTCTGCTACACTGTTATTGAAACCTCCCGAATCCGGCACTGTTAATAAAGCTAAACATTAAAAACAAATTTCGAAATTCTTGAACTGAACTTCGCTACAGCATAAAACCGCGAACATTGAACAGAATGAATCGAGATCTTACGAAGCTGAAATAGTTGGAATTGGAATCTAGAATGAAAGTAAAGAGAAGAATTAACTACCTTCGTTTTGATCATCGTTGTCGGTGAACTCGTGCTGAAGAGCTCGATCAATGATATCAGCAAAGGAGCCTTGTCGAGGAGTGGAGAGGGAGACATTGGAGTCGGTGGAGTTGGTGAGTTCGAAATCTAAGCGATCGGAGTGAGTAGGACGGATGGCGAGAGAGGAATGAGGAAGAGAGTGGAAAATGAGAAGAAAAACTGGCATCATTAACAAGAAGTGGTGGTGATAAGAGAGTGAGTGTGATCTTGGTCTTGACATTGCCACGCCGGCGGAGGTTGGCGGTTACCGGTGACGGTTAGCCGGCGGGTGGAGGAGAGAGATGGGGGACCGGTGATGTGTAGTGAGTGAGTAAGGTGAAGCGCTGAGGGGTCAAGTTGAAGTCGTTCATTATTTACTATCATTTGTACTTGTCATTATTGCTATTATTTTTAATTCAATCATACTTCTTGTCGTTATGACCACTCTGCCCTTGTCACCCCATTTTTTCGATCATTTATTTTTGTGGAACTATAGTTAGTTAGATGTAGCAAATTCTCTCATTAATCATAAGCAGTAACAAACTAATCTTATCGCACGAGTCCTCTTTAAATATATACATATACTAAACATTTATTTATAAACTTTAAATTAATACTTCTGTCAATATTCCCCATAATTATAAAATATAAACTAATAATATATACAAATTTTTAAACATTAATTTATATTTATAATAAATAGTACAGTCGATTTTTTAACTTCAATTATATAAATAGTAGTAAAAAAAAATTTTAAAAGATAAATATTAAAATAAATAGTTTAAAGTTGGTATCTCATAGATATGTTTACATCTACTCCTAAATCTATTTCATATATTCAGTTGGTTAACATTCATATAGTTACAATATATAATTATTTATCAAATTTAAATTTCTCATTTATAAAAATAATTGTAACTTATCCTGTTTATAAAAATAATTGTTTCAATAGGTAGATTTTTTCTATTTTATAAGTGTTTCGAATTCGTGTGACTATTTATAAAAATATTTGAAATGTATTCTCATTTATAAAAATAATTGTATCAATAATTGAATTTTTACCATTTATAAAAATATTTGTAATTTATTCTTATTTATAAAAATTATTGTACTTATTGTCGTTTGTAAAAATAATTATATCAATATGTAGATTTTTTTCCTTCAAACAGTCAAGATATTGATTCTTCTAATTTTCCGTCATTTAACTTCAAAGTCAACGTTGCCTGCTCCAAAGAGAAACTCATCGCCATTAACTTTTGCACAAGGTTTTCTAGCTTCCTCGACATTAGATAAGCGTCGCATCGGTCATGCAACTCATGGGCTCTCATTTCCCTTTGTCTCTGGTGCTTTCTCTCATTCTTCAGTCGGATCTTATCCCTTCTGTCGTTATCACAACCAGGTATAATATCCAAATGCATAGTGGAGTTTGCAGCTTTCTCTTTAGTATCTTCCGATTCACCAAAACAGCTTCTATTATTAGAAATTAAATCGTACTCAGTCACCGTTCCTTTAGGACTACTAGAATGATCATCTACATCGTTTATTTTTTAGAGTTGGTTGTTATCATTAGCCAAAGATGATTCGAGAGTTTGAATTATTTTTGAGATAAGATCGCCTGCACTAACGAGAATGCCACTCTCCTCATTAGAAGATCCAGAAGTCTTTGGAGAGATCTTTTGTTGTTCCTTAGCAACCTTAGCCAAAGCCTTATCCTTAGATTTGGATTTTGATTTCATTGATGGAGACATTCTATTAGTTACTATATTTGTCCTGCATTTTCACAAAAATAATTTAGAACCAAACCAGTCCAAACTGACATACACTTACCCAGTTAACAAACAGTCACGAGTCACGTCTACATCTCAAATGGAATCTTGGGCTAAATTTTTTTTTTTGAAATCTATGTTTGTTAAGGAACTAAAAGAAAAAAAAATTAAAATGGGGTAAATCAAAACTCGCTACTATTACATGGGGGATAGAAGGCATTTAACTCTAAAAAATTGGATTAGTTATATGCGTAAAATTATTTTACACTAACATTACACTATTTTTAAACTCATATTTTTATTGTTATAGTATATGAGTTTAATTGATACCCATTATCAGTGTAAAAATGTTTACACTATCAATACATCGTAACCACTCAAATTTATTATTTTAAAGAAAATTAAAATAGAAGTCTAGACACTTCTCTAGTCTTAATCACACCAAGTATACACCTATAAATTACAATCTAATCTTAACATAACTTTTTGCCTCATATTACCTTTCAAGCAGCAAAGCACACACAATGCAGCCTCCTAATGTTGTTCTCGTGTTTGTTACATAAATTGTGCGAGAATATGCACACAATGGATTAGCTCTAAACGTATTGTCATGAGATAGATAAGTTTGCCCACCAGATGGCTATAACACTCGAGATTAGAGAGATAAGTTTCTCTGGATTAATATTTTACTCCATCAAAAAGGATGTAGGTTTTGCGCAAATAAACTAACCTCATAAATATTTTCCAAAACATAGCTACGTTGACATAAGAAAAATCATTCAGAAATACAAGTCACTTTATTATCCCAAAAAGCACTTTAACGCCCCCAAATCTTTTGAAAAGAAACACAAAGTCGAATAATTTTGGAATCATTATATGATAAAACAACAAGGTCATCAACATACACAAGTACACAAAATTGTTTGAATCCAAATATTCTTAATGTTTCCGCCAACTTCACAAACCATTACCCGGAGAGTCGTTTCAAACTACACAATAATTTCTTCAAGCAACAACTAACCCCTGCTATTCTTGTGCCAAAGCCAAGAGGCACCCGAGGTAAACATTTTTCTCTAAGGATATGCACGAGAGTTTGGACGAGAAGAGAGGGAAGAGTTTTGAATTGAGTGAAGAGAATTAAAGAATTTTGATTGGCCAAATTTTAAAATATTCGCTTTTATTTATACCATCAAAAACCCTTTAATTTAAAAGATCTCAAAATTTATATTAAAGAAGAATTTTAGAGGATTTACATAAATTTTTTAAATATATTTTATATTGTTATAATCCTTTAAAAAGTAAAAATGTAACCATGCTAAATACTCTTTTATAATTTTTTTAAAATTCTTTTTCAAAAACCTAAGAGCATCTCCAATGGTGCTACTCATATTTGGGTTCTTTGTGGAACCCATTAAGCCACATCATCTTGAAGCAACTCACTCCATTTTTCACTCCAATGGTGCAATTTTAAAGAACTTATATTCGGTCCCACAATTTTACTTTGTATATTAATATTTTATTCATACTAAATTTTATTTGATTTAAAATAATAATTTAAATTATTTAAATTTAAATTAATATAAAATAAATAAAATTAAAATTAAACATAAAATTTAAAATGATAATTAAAATTAATCTCAAATACATGATATATAATTAAAAATAATAAAAATAAATTACATAACATAATTACTCAAATTTAATTTCCATCGTCCTCATGTCCAAAACGTTCCCAAATATGCTCGACTAGATCTCCTTGAAGTTGGCGATGAACTTGTTTTTCACGAAGAGTTGCTCTTCTTTGTAGTCTTGTTGCAAGATTCGGATGAGGACCGTTAAATGTTTCAGTCATTGAGTTGTTGTTACCGACATTATCGTAAGAGTAATCAAAATCACCTTCATATGTGTGTCGTTCGTCTTCGACAATCATGTTGTGCAATATGATGCAAGCATATATGATATGCTTGAGGGTTTCCATGTGCCAAGCACGCGCTGGACCATGTATTATTGCAAAACGAGATTGAAGCACTCCAAATGCCCGTTCCACATCCTTTCTAGCTGATTCTTGGTGTTGTGCAAATAGTTTTCTCTTTTCTCCTTGTGGCATCGAAATAGTTTTGACAAACGTAGCCCACTCAGGATATATTCCATCCGCTAAATAATACCCCATATTATAAGGAGTTCCATTGATTGTATATTGCACATTAGCAGCACGTCCTTCCAAAATATCGTTAAACACATTGGATTGGTTTAACACATTAATGTCATTGTTTGAACCTGCAATACCAAAAAATCCATGCCAAATCCACAAGTCTTGTGATGCCACTGCTTCAAGCATGATCGTGGGTTTACCATGATCACCTCGACAAAACTGTCCTTTCCATGCAACAGGACAATTCTTCCATTCCCAGTGCATACAATCAATGGAACCCAACATACCTGGAAAGCCACGTGACTCACCCATTTGTAAAAGATGTTCAATATCAGTGTTGTTAGGCTTTCTCAAATACTCAGCCCCAAATACAACATTCACGCCCTTAACGAATCTTTCTAAGCACTCAATTGAGGTACTTTCACCGATTCGAACATATTCGTCTACAATGTCAGCGGGAGACCCATATGCCAACATACGAATAGCAGATGTGCATTTCTGCAATGGTGAAAGACCCATCTTACCAGTTGCATCGACCCTCATTTGGAAATATTCATCATGATTGTCGAGGGCATCTACAATTCGAAGAAACACATGCATATGCATTCTGAACCTTCTTCGGAATTGTACATCTGTGTATACTGGATTTTCTGAGAAGTAGTCATTGAATAACCGATTGTGCCCTTCTTCACGACCTCGATCTACCGTAGTTCTTCTCTTTGGCCTAGAGGAACTTCCAAATTGACATTCATTTTGAAGATGTTATTCTTATCACTGTCGTCCATAAATTCTTCTTCAACTAACTCCCAAAATTCTTGATCGTAATTATCTGAATTGTCTGAATCCATTTTAGTGAGGAATAAGAAGAGAATGAGAAAACAATGACATAAGTGGTAGTATATATAATAGTTTGAATAAAGGCTAGTTATTCATAACGGCTAGTTTGAATAACGGCTAGTTTGAACAACATAATATTTATTATGATTTAAAGTGGTACTAATGACCATTTTACATAGGATTTGATAAATTAAAGTGGTATTAATGACCATTTTACATATAATTTAAAGTGGTACTAACTACAGTCCATTTTTTTCTTCATTTTATTACAATATTTTTCATGAATATCTCGTTGACTTTCGTTCATAGTAGAAGTGTCTTTCATCATGATTTGCATTACCTTTAATTCTATCTCGTCCTCCTTACTTTGCGCAAGTCTTTCCATTGTTTCTGCTCTTTTATTTCTTGCATCTTGCGTTGCATTTGAAATTTCCTTTGCCTTACCCTTCCTTTTTGCTGCTTTTTGTCCCATTGGACGCTCCATTGGTGATGATGAGTTAAACTCATAATTTGAAGGTGTATCAGGGATCTCCGATGATGCCCCACTAGTAGAAGTCTGTGTCATTTTTGAAGAATTTCCAATCGATTCTCTGATGATGCCCCATTTAGCTTCATCTTTTAACAATCGCCATGCATACTCAAGATTGAATGTTGTACCTTGATCTTGAGCATAAAAAGCATGTGCAGCAGCCATGATATCGTTCTCCGATGTCCCACTTTTCTTTCTATTGACAGCTTGTCTATAACACCCAACAAATTTTTGAACCGACGCATTTATTCGATACCATCGACATTTTAATTGACCACTTAACTTTTCTCGCAATTGCCCGCGATACTAGTTATAATTTGCAGCGATTCTATGCCAAAAACTCTCAGCTTTTTGATCAACTCCCACAATTGGATCCTTTGAAACATTGAGCCATGATTGGATAAGACATATATCCTCATCCCTTGTAAATTGCTCTCGAGATTTTTTTTTAACGAGAACCCTTTCTTCTTTTTCAACACCAACTTGAGTAGAAAATGGTGGAACTTGAGAATTTTGAGGATTAGGATTTTGATACATATTTGGATTGTTTGGTGACGGAAAAAATATGGCGGGGTTTGGTGGTACCGATGGAATTTGAGAATTTTGAGAATTAGGATTTTGATAATTTTGCATGAAATTGAACATAGCTTGTTGATAATGAAAATGATTAGGATCCATTTGGCCTAAACAAATGTAATTTGAAATAAAAAGATAAAAATTTGAAATAAAATGATAATGAGAAGAAATTGTTGGAAAAAAATTAAAAATTTATGAATAAAATGATGAAATTGTGAGAGAGAAATTTGAAATTAAAGAGTAAATAAAAGTGAGAAAAAATAGGATTGGTATACAATTTTCCAACAAACCTATATTTATAATAAATAAAAAAAGTTTAAAAAAAAAATAAAAAGATAAAATCGTTGCACAACGGCTAATTGATTATTTTAATAATAAAAAAATATGAAGAGTCGTTGCTTATATTTGTACCGTTCACCAGCTGGAACAACTTTTTTGTTGACAATTTCAATGCCAAGCTGGCAAACCAATCTGAAAAACCACCGTTATAGGTGGTCTAAGTAATCAGTTGAGAATGCATTATGACATCCATCTAATAAAATTTTCAATTTCAAGTTTCCACGTGTTCTGAATCACAGGACATGTTCTGAATATTCCACATCTCATTCATGATTAAAAGTAAAATTGTTCTGGATAATAAAAAAGGAAGATGGACCTCTTATATTGTAAGGGAAAGTTTGTTACTAACTAACTAGAACTGACCTTCAACAAACTAACTCACAAGTAACAACAAAAAACAATAAATGTTTTTAAGCAGGTGAGTCCAATAGTTTACCTTTTTTTCGCACCAATTGATTTCACTTTCATTTAAAGTAGAAAAATCATCTTTATGACTGTGAGTATCACTCGACACATGTGACCTATGTATTAAAGAAGGTAGAAATAGAATGATACAGTATAACATTGTCCATGTAGTTAAAACTTCACATGCAAATACAACCAATTTTATCATTATAGTAATAAACTCGCATCTACAGACATGTTACAAGTCCTACATGTAAAACACATCATCTTTCCTTCTTTTTTATCAAAAACTATATACTTTGAAGTTTCCACTGGTATATAAACATTTTACAACAGACCATTTTTCAGGGTCAGCAAATCACACAAAAACCTTATAAAGTGTAAGTGCAGGATCACTGTTATACAGCCTTTCGACCTCCACTCGTTTCTATCAAGCATTTGTTCTCGAGATTCACAATTGAGTCAGCAATGACTCTGGCACTGGACTTCATGTATCCGCCTTAAACATGGAATGAAAAATTAACAAAACCTCATAAGCATCTCAAATAGATTGAGAAAATAATTGAAGAAAGTTTGCTAAAAACATATTAGTTTAGAACCCATTAATGCTTATCAAATCGAGATTTAAATCAGACCTATTATCCTAATTGTAAATCAAATCTTATTACGAATCGTGAGATACTTATCAATAAAAATATGATATTTTTTAAGTAAAAACAATGACATAACGAAATTAAAAGCTTAAATCAAATGACAAATGAAATCTCCATTGCAACATCTTATATTGGCATAGAACTTGGAAAAAATACAAGGTCAGAGAAATAAGATTCCATTTAATTTAACCCAAATGTAAAAAAATATCAAAACTATTGTATGTTTTATAACTGATTAGTCACATTTATACTTTAATTGATCACATTTAATTACCATATATTTTCAATACTATCCATGATGAAAATGGGGCCTTTGTTATGAAAATTTCCTGTACAAACATCATGGCACACTTATGGTAAGGAGAAAAGAGAAAACCTGAAGTGAGCATGACAATAGGAATGTTCTTTTCACGAGCAAACCGGAAGACTTTCTCATCTCTAAGAGCAATTCCGTCAGGACTAATCTGCATGCACAAAATAATACAAGCACTACTCATGATGTGTGGTAATGAAATTACTAAAACAGTTGGGGGACTATTTTTATCTTGCAGAAACTATAGATCAAGAGGAAACAGCCAGCTTCATACATTGTTACATTTTACTGCAATAAATTGAACCCAAGAATGACATTACCTTCAACCTTCCTAATGGGTCACCATCTAGGATGTCAGTTCCAGCATTATAAACTAACAACTCGGGGTTAAACCTTCGCCCAGCAATCTTGAATCACATTGGCATGGATAACAAAAATAAGTGTTCTTCAACTGATTAACATAACTACATAATCCTAGTAATGTAGTGGTTACTCAAGCCAAAAACAATAGAAAAGTTATATTGTAACATACCTCAAGTGCTTCATCTAATTTTAGCAGGTACTCTTCTGTACGAGTCCCGCTCTGGAAGTTCAAGGTGAACAAAGAGAGAACTAAATTGTTACAGAGAAAAATAAATAAAAAAATATGATTTGGGTCTTAACTGCTATAGTGAATATATACCTTCACTTCAACTTTCTGATTTATGTAGTTTCTTGCCTCATAATCCTAATATAGAACACAAAGGGATAGTAAAATGTGTCGCTCTTAAGATGATAAAATGAGGATGACCGTAAATAATGATTTACTGTTGTTACTGGAACACTGTTTCCTAATATGAAGAAAAAACATTATTACAACATAAGGACAAAGCATTGCTTTTTAGAAGGCACTAATATTTTAATAATCTAATTACAGTATATTTCTTAGCAAATCATTTGCTGCCTTCCTGCAAACTTTGTTTGCAAGTTAATTGCAGATGCAAGCACAGAAATGTATACATGTTGAACTTGACATGAATAACAATTTCCAATGTTCAAAATCCAATAGGTATTTATTTAAAAAGAGGCTCAAGTACAAAGAGTTAATCATATTATTGAGGTTAGACTGAGAAGAAGAAAAAAGTTTATGTATGTTAGCCCACGTCTCACACTCATTTCACCAGTGGAATTTAAAAAACAATTACAATTTATTTTTCATTTCATGATCACAATGGGATTCACATGGAAGATGATTCATATTTCATATCTAGACTGAGGATACGATGATCTAGATGGATGATAAAATCTTAGAACCACAGGCAGAATGTCATTGTCAGATTTTGGCCGACAAAGTCGGATAAACTAGGAAAATGTGAAGAAACAGAAATGAAGAAATATTCAATTCATAAGAAAAAAGAGGTATAAAATATCTAGGAGCAGAGAGCTTTACCAAAGGATATATGCCAGGGTTATACATATCAAGAATGTAGACTCGATCTGCCATTACAAAGGTTCTATCAGTGAGAAAGTCCTAAGAGATATGATGGCAAACACAAGAGGAAGAAATTATTTTGGTCATACTATCATCGGCGAAGTCCATTTCATGACCATTTCCTTGATGTGCATCAAGATCGATAATCATCACCCTGAAGATTTTATGGACAAGTTTTTCTCAAGTGTTAATAGAATAAGCTAACCGGCATTTTAAAGACTAAATATGGAATACAGATCCTCTCCATTTCTCAACAGAAATGGAGAGCACAATTACTATAGTATTGATGTATAAATTTACATACTATTGAAATGTGTGACATATATTTTGCATAATATGTACATTTATACATCAATACTATAGTAATTGTGCTCTCCACTCCTAAATATGATAGTACCTTGATATATTCAACTGAACAAAAGCAAATTGGATGCATAGAGAAATATCTGCATAAGCACAAAATCCACCTCCATTTTCTGCAGAACAGTGATGAAAACCGCCTCCCACATTAATGGCCCATCCCCTCTCCCTTGCAAGTTTTGCAGCCAATATAGTTCCTCCAACCTGCCATTAGTACAGGAGATAGATCATATAACTGGAGACGTTAAACAGAGTTGAAGAAAAAAAGTTGATTTACCTGTTTCCTAAATGGAAAAAGAACTTTATGTTGCACCAGACAATTGGGAAAAAATGCCACAGGAGGGACCTGCAAATTTCCATTTAAGAAGTCGGCAGAGAAAAGCAAGTATAATGATAATACGTTAAAACCACGAAAGAATAAATAACTTCCTCAGGCTTACATGTAAGTGGAAAGTACCTCAATTATCTTGGCAACATTCGAACTTTGGTTCAGACTATTCAAGTATGATTTTGAGTGTACCTGAAAGAAAGAATATTACCACTAAAAGAACACAAATCCATAAGCAATTTGCAAAGAGTGTGATTATTATATTACCACTAGAAGGTCATCTTGAGAAGCTTCAAGAGGCTCAACAATGCGATTTTGATCCAAAAGACCAAAAGAGACAAGGAAATTACAAATGCGTCCCCATTTGGATGAATCAAAAGGGTGCCTAAAAGAAAAAAACAATGAGTGACAGAATTCGGAATTGCAGAAGCGTTAATGGTGAATTGGTGATTACAGTTTCTCTATGCCGAGAAATGATATGTCGTAAGAGTTGGAGTAGATAAGCGGAACCTGAATGGTGAAAATAAAAAAGACATTAGTAGAATAGGAGATAGTGAGTGGGAAGTTGGGAAAAGTTTACCTTGGAGGGAGATACGTCGAAGTAGAGGTTGGTAGAGAGGATGCGGTTGCGGCGGGTAGGAGAGTCGATGGCGGCGGAAGAAGAAGATGATGAAGACATCGCTGTTGCTCTGTCGACCACCGTTACAACTGCTTCAATTCTGCTTATTTTATTTGATGGGAATCTATGGAAACGTGACAAATGAATGTTAAATATAGACTACAAGTTAGATTAGAATATTTAAACTTAGGTTTAATATATTTTTAAGTCTTTTTAATGTTTTGCTTTAGTTCCATTAACTAAAAAACATTATAAATTAGTTCATTAATTTATAATGTAATTAGTTCATTAATTTATAATGTTGTTCTATTTGGTCTCTTTCATTAATTTTTAAAATAAAATGTTAGAATTTTGTGTTGTAGATGTATTACAAGACTTAAAGTCTAAATCTGACTTAATATTTGTATAATAAAATAAATTTTTTACTTAATATAATCTTTTGTAATACAAATACTTAATCATAATTGGATTTTAAACTTATTATTTTTCTTTTGCTCGAAATTGACCGAAGGGATTAAATAAAATAATTAAAGCCAAATAAAGGAATTAATTTGTAATATTTTTTAGTTAAAGAATTAAAATATAATATTAAATTAAGTTAAAAGACTTACGAACTAAATATGACTTAAGTTTAATATTTTAATGTATTACATTTTATATGAGTGAACTTTATGATGAAATTAGATATTAGAATGCAATGTGAAGGGGGTTAACAAATGAGTTTCTAAATAGATTTATTTTAAAATTAAAAGTGATACTAGTGTGTATTCGCACCGGATAAAATTTCTTGTGATCAATAATCTATAAGGAGGGTTTTATTAACTGCATATGTTAATTGGATTTTGTTAAAAAGTTTTTACAATTTAGTAAAAAAATGAATTTTATAGTAAATTAATAATTTTAAAGATTTTTATTAAATTAAAAATTTTAATTTAATTATAAAAAATATATAAATAGAAAGATAGTGGTCCGGAGCAGTATAACCCAAATCAAGCATGCAATTACCACCATAAAAATTAACAAACATGTCAATTAATGAATAAAAACTGTTGTTCAAATTTCAAAAACAACTTAAAAGAAAGAAAGTGTAACAAAAATGACATATCTATCAAGTAATTATCTTATCAAATATAATCATAAAAAAAACAATAAACCTTTTTGTTCTGGACTGGGCCCGACATGCCCAAGAGCATTGCAAAGGCCCAGCCCAAATGGACTTACAAGGGCCACGCCGACCATAGAGTACGACTGTGCCCGACGCGCAGTCGCCAGCTCGACAAGCACCTCTCCAGCTCGACATACTGTGGCCCAGCACCACATTCCGAGGTCCTGCTCGACGTTACCTCGAGCACCCTTGCTAGGGCAGACTCAGTCCACTGTTCCCCCAACGATACTCCGAAAAGACCGCGTCTCCGTCCGCCCGCACTTCACGCAGAACATCCAGGAAGGGGACCACGTACGGGTCCCCACTACCCACGTAGAACCTGGCAGTTCCTCCATTGGGCCAAACCTGCCCGGCCCAATGAAGGAACCTTGGCCCAGCGTTGGGGGCTATAAATACCCTCTGTTTCCAGAGGGTCAGGTATTCATCATTCTAACCTTACACTTGCTGTTATCTGCTCGTACTCCTACTTACTTCAGCATCGGAGTGCCTTGCAGGTACCCCCCCCCCCCATCTCGTTCAAAAAAGCTTTCTGCTCGGAGCCAGCCGTGACGGTCCATTTCTGATCAGGTCAGATCAGTGGCACCGTCTGTGGGAAACTAGCTTCCCCGTCTAACGAACAACTTTAAAAGACCAAAGCTCAATTCAACTACCTGTCATGGCTGATCCAGCTCGCGACGAGCAGCCCGTCCGTGTCGCCGACACTAATAACGGTACCGCGGACAAGAATGGACACCTCGATAACCCCGGTGATCCCGGCCACAGTGCCATCCCTGTGACAACCGCCCCTGGACCTTCCTCCTACAGGGACGGGGCTACTGCATCATCCTCTACGACTCCTCCAGCACTCGAAGACGACCCGGTAGCTCTCGCTCATCACAGAGCTGCCCGGTTCTATGAAGTCCCAGTTCCCGCCGGGGCAGATGGCACGACTCAGGCACTGTTCGCGGCCATTAATCAGACAAATTATCTCATCTTCGCCCAAGGAGAAAGATTAAGGGCACTTGAAGATGATCGACGACCCCCGAGGAGGCATCGGAGGCCACCTTCCCCACCTCCTCGGGTCACGGAAGTTCGACACCCTTCTCCCCCGCGAAGACACTACAGGGAGAACTCCAGGAGCCCTTCTCCCCGGCCAAAGCAGAGGCGGCCCTACCATGAGAGACAGCCCGCCATCCCTGCCGGAGAACCCAGTCGCGACCCATCAAGGCACGACAAGAGACACGCCGGGGACGAGCGTGTGACCTTCAACAACCGAGCATCACGCTCGAGGGAAACTCAGCACGATCATCGTGCCAGACATAACTACAGGACCCCTTCTCTTTCTCCGGAGAGGAGCGACGAGGACGACCCCCGCGGTCCCCTGTCGCAGGCCATCATGGATGCACCCATCCCCCCGGGCATGGAGAAGCCCCCGCACTTGAAGGAGTATGACGGAGTAGCGGACCCGGTCGACCACATTGACGGGTTCGAAGCCATGCTCCACTATCATAATGTCGGGGGGCCCATCAAGTGCCGTCTTTTCCCCACGACTCTCAGGAAGGCGGCCATGGACTGGTATAAAGGGCTCGCCCCGGGCTCAATTACGTCGTGGCGGAACCTGAAGAACCAGTTCATCAGTTCCTTCACAGCTTCTCGGCGCCATCCGAAGACCGAGGCGGCCCTCGAGGCCATCATCCAAAGACAGGATGAAACCTTGAGGGAATTCATCAACCGCTTCAACCGGGAAGCAATACAGGTCCCCTGCGCGGACCATATGAAAAGATACTTGCTGGAGAGGGGTCTCCTCCCCGGCACAGAATTCAGAAAGGCTGTGGGTATTGAGCCACCTCCAACCTTTGATGCCCTCCTCGACAAGGCCCGAGCATACATGGACTACGAGGAGAGAGAAGCTGCCAACAGGGCCCGAGACTCCAGGGCTCGCGCTCCCAACAACAGCAGCAGCTCACGACAAGAGCCTCCTCCCCGACGTACCGGGGAGAAAAGGAAGGAAGATCGACCCCGGGAGGTCCGGGAACAAAGGGGCCCCTCGGGCCGTTTCACCGAGTACACTCCGCTCACGGCTTCCCGCAAACGTATTTTGGCGGAGTGTGCCAGTACAGATTTCAGAGACGGTGGCGTCAAGCGTCCCCGACCTGCTCCCGCCAAGCCAGGGGCAGATAAAAATAAATACTGTCAATACCATAGGAGTCATGGTCATTTGACAGAAGACTACGTCCACCTCAAGGACGCCATTGAAACCCTCATCAAGGGAGGGAGGCTCGCACAGTACAGGCGAAACGATGCTCCCCGTCGTGACGCCCATGAAACCAAGGAGCCCGAAGAAGATGCCCGACCATCAGACGAGTCGGTGCCTATCCAGACCGCCTTCTCGGTAACCAGGCCCGAGGATTTCGACGTTCCCGAGCTCCTGCAGGAGCCCCTGACAACACACAGCAGGTGGGAATACTTCCCCTCCGCCATGGTCATCAACGGGGGCGGGTTCAACGACCTCACCATCAATTCAGCCAAGAGGAAGTTGGACGAGCTGGTCGACATAGCTCCTCCGCAAACGGTAACTTTCGAAAGGGTGAAGGGCATGTCAGAGCCCATCACCTTCTACCTAGAAGAACTCCCCGGCGGAGCCCCGAACGCAGTCATCCCCTTACTGATAAGGGCAAAAATGGCCAATTTTGACGTGCACCGCATCTTGGTCGACGAAGGGAGTTCCGTCGACGTGATGTACAGCCAGCTGTTCCGGACTTTACAACTGGACGACTCACACCTCTCTCCGTATGTGGGTTCGGATCTTCAAGGCTTCAACGGCTCGACTTCCAAACCTTGGGGTTATGTCGAGCTCCTGGTTACGTTCGGAGAAGGAACGGCTACGAGACAGGTTAAGGTCCGCTTCCTCGTCATTCATTGCCCGTCTCTATACAATTGCATCTTGGGGAGACCGACATTGGCGGAGCTGACAGCGGTGCCCTCGACTGTCCATCTGAAAATGAAGTTCTATACCAAAAGGGCACGGGTAGCCACCATCCAAGGAGACCTCGCCGCTGCCCGCAGGTGCTTCAACGCCGCTTCAAAGGGACGGGATACTGTCGACGTGGGGACCAGACCCACCAAGAGGACAAAGCAGGAGCCCGACAGAAAATCATCCCCTGAGGAAGAAGTCCAGAAGGCTCCACCAAAGGTCGACTCCATAGCCCTCGACGCTCGCTTCGACCAGGACGAGCCATCCAGCAGCGAGCAAATCCCACTCCGACCTATCCCGGACGGGGACTTTGAACTCGTTCCCCTCGGCACGGACCCGACCAAGGGAGTGAAGATTGGTAAAGACCTCCCCGACTTGGCCAGGAAGCAAATCAAGGCCTGTCTGCGCGAGAATGCTGATCTCTTCGCCTGGAGCGCTGCAGAGATGCCCGGACTCGACCCTGAGGTCGCCTGTCACCACCTCGCCATTGATCCAGCCGCCAAGGCCGTAGTACAACGTAGGCGTAGGCAGTCTCCAGAAAAAACGGAGGCTGCTGAAAAAGCTGTAAAAGACCTCCTAGAGACAAATTTTATTTCTGAAGCCCGGTACTCCACCTGGCTGTCAAATGTTGTACTTGTTAAAAAGAATAATGGAAAATGGAGAATATGTGTTGACTATACCGACCTCAACCGGGCTTGCCCGAAGGATGCTTTTCCTTTACCTAACATAGACATGTTGGTCGACAACTCGGCCGGCTACAAGACTTTGTCGTTCATGGACGCCTACTCGGGATATAACCAAATCCCGATGGCTCTGGGCGACAAACACTGCACGGCGTTCATGACCAGCTCGGGCAACTATTACTACAACGTAATGCCCTTCGGACTGAAGAACGCCGGAGCAACTTACCAACGTATGATGAACAAAGTGTTCAACAAACAG